TGGGCTTCTTTCTCATAATCAACAGCTTGTGAAAGCAAGAATAGAAACTGCAAGACTTTAATTACTGACCAAAACAATGGGGCTAAGCCAGTTCTCTGGCTTTGGATGAAGGCTTGGCATTCTAAACTGACTACAAGGTCATAAGATTACTATCTATTCAGAGGCTTTCTGATAAATAACAAAGGCATACAACTGTCCCTTTCCTTAAGAGTTAATCCAAATGGGTCTGTCATCACCTGAGCAACAAAATGCCCTTCAGGGGAAGGTCACTATTTCACAAACCTTAGAAATTATATTATGCCTACTTAAAATGCAATTTGGTATAATGTTCTCTTTACCCATTGCCCACTGTTGTGGGGGTTCAGCTCTGCAAGGTCCCTTTGGCCATTGCCCCCTTTTACCTCACGAGAGTGCTTCATTTGACTCTGTAATAAGCCTCTATCTTCTATGCTATGATCTGCATGTTTCATTTGAATTATTTCAACAGAGATAAGAAGGACTGGGAGCAGAAGGTAGTCCAGAGTGAGATTCTTTGACACTTTTAGGTATCAGTTTTATTTCTTGGACTCGAGAGAAAAGAGCCAGTGTCAATTCAAAAGTGCTGAGGGACCAATTTCCCAGCCTTCTGTATTAGTCTGTGCCTTAAAGAGCCTTCTATTCTGGATGGGAGAAGGATGTTAGGAAGAGGAAAAACTCAGAATTCTTCACCAGGTATCATTTTCTTCACTTTCTCAGAATCTTAACAAAAGCTACCCTACACCTTCAGTTGAAGTCCATTTTTTTTTTTTTTGGTCTTTTTGAGACAGGGTCTCCTTGTAGCTCCAGCTGTCCTGAAACTTACTATGTAGACCAGACTTGCCTCAAACTCACAAAGATCCACCTGCCTCTGCCTCCCAAGTGCTGGGATTAAAGGTGTGCACCACCATGCCCCACTTGAATTCCATTTTTAATCTTTCCACAGTGCTAGAAAATAATTAGTCCTCATCATCTTCCACATAGATAATCTCACTAGAGTGAACAGTTGCTATACTACAGACTTGGCTATTGGGTTGAGACAAAGCCAAATTGCAGACTTTGGAGGAGAGCTTGAGTTTAGACTGTTTTGTGTCATAGGCTAGGGACATGGATTTCTGGTTTGGGGACTATGATCACCATGATTTGTAGCATCTCCCATGTCCTTTTCCCTCATTCCTAGAGTTCTTTCATCTGCCTTGGCTTATTCTCTGGCCTTGAGATCGTCTCTGCCTGAAAATGAAACTCTTCCTACTTTCTTCATTTTCATCCTGGGTGCCTCAAGGTATCTTTGTCTTTTGTGTGGTTTTATATAATTTCCCTTGGAATCTTGAGCAGAAGGAATCTAAGCAAGGCAGGTAAAGGATACTTTCATACATCTCTCTGCTGGTGGGAGATGAGGACGTTGACATTCCTTGTTGGAGAGTCTCATGTTCTATGAAGAGGAACAAGCAGGCAGCTCTGTGAAGATGAGCTTTACTTTCCTATGGATTTTTTTGAAGGCAAGATATTTCTTTTGTAGAAGCACAGGTAGCATAATTTCAGGACCCTCCAGAAAGTAAAGTTTGGGGGCTGGAGAGATGGCTCAGTGGTTAGGAACGCTGGTTGTTCTTGCAGAAGACCCGGGTTCAAATCCCAGCACCCACATGGCAGTTAACAACTGTCGGTAACTCCAGTTCCAGGGGATCCGACAGCCTCTTCTGTCCTCCTCAGGCATTACACGACATGGGTGCACTTACCTACATGCAGGCAGTACACGCATACACATAAAATGAAAATAATAAAATTTAAAAAAAGAAGAAAACGAAAGTAAAGTTGGTCTTTCTTCTTAGAGTTTGTTTCCTCTAAGCTTGCCCAGATGCAGCACTGTCTTATTTACCAGCTTAGACTGATGGACCTGATACCAGTTGCTTTTCAGCCAATGTGTCTCCAATGACTAGAATAACAAAGAGGAAGCAGAGTTCTGGAAAAACACAATAAATTCAATTGGTTACTCATAGCTACGCTTACACCCCAGGGATCTGTTGCAGGAGAATGTCTTTTCTCTACTGCTGGGTGCTGCGAAGAGTGCTCAGAGGCTTATAACATAGGCCACGCATCAGTGCTTCTTCAATACATTTAAGGCAATTATGCACATGCTTTTAGAGAACACCTCAAGAGTGGGCTTGCTTTGAATCCATTTGAATCAAATAATTAGTTTATAGACAAAAAATATATACTGTTTTAATTTTTCAGCTTGACTAAGGGTTCTTTTGGGAGTTGTGGTAGCATGTTATAAGACTAACTCCTTTTAATTATATTTATTTACTTAATGAATCATACAGCTAGTAGGTGAGTGGCATTTTGAGACAGCCTACACAGTTGCCCCACAGCCTCATATTTATTCTGTCTTATAATTTATGTTGTCATTTTATACCCTGTTTATCTTCAGTTTGATGGGAGCCTTTCAAGGTTTTGTACACCTAGTAAGAAGCAATACCGGGTCTCAATTTTAGTATGCTAGATTGGCAGTCCATCCACTGAGATATATTCTCAGTTGAGGTCTCAATTTTAGGTCTTCTGGCATTGCGTCTTGTGCTCTTTACAAGTGCATTAAGAAAAATCATACAGTGTAGTCACAAGAGTCATAGTAGGATCCTCACTCTGATACTCAGCAGACATGTGACCTTATGCATTCTCAGCATGTGGTCTACCCCTGAGTTATGACTCTAGTCCAGCAAATACCCTCTCAGACAGCACACCATGGATCATGCTTTCTGATGGGGAAGATACAGGAATGCCTTTTCTAAATTGTCTGTGGAGCTGCTTTCCACAGAATTGAGCATGCGCTGTTCTGCTGACTTGGGAGCGTGGAGCTAACTTAGCTTATTAATATACATGCTTTAAAAGTACTTCCTCATCGATTTGAGTTTATGATTTCTGTATGACAGAAACATGATAGAGGGTCTTATGTATGTTTTCCTAGGAGTAGAAACTATTATACAGAACTCTTTAATCTGTATCTGCGTTTCCTTGCTATTTTGATGTATGTGTTTATGTGTGTGTGTGTGTGTGTGTGTGTATGTATGTGTATATGTGTCTGCGAGTGTGTGTCTGTGGTGTGTGAGAGAGAGAGAGAGAGAGAGAGAGGGAGAATATGAATTAGCGATTCTCAGCCTCTTTAAAACTGCTGACCCCAGAGAAGGGTCATGTCTCTTGTGGAAAATAACCATGATGGATTTGAACAAAAGAGAAAGCAGCTGTTAGCTGGATGACACTTAGCAGCCAGGTTCTGGCATCCACTATCGCAATGCAGGAGCAAGGTGCAGGCAGTGGGGAGAGACAGGAGGGTCTGGCAGAGCTAGTGGTTTCAGTTCCTTCCCACCTACACAGAGTTCTCAGGATCCAAGTGCGTGTCAGGACCTCACTCCCAACTCTGTGCTTCCCACTCTTGCTTAGATGAAACCTGACCTTTTAAAAACACAGCTCTCAGAGAAAGAAGGCAGCATTTTAGAAACCTAAAAGTCTTCAGGAACCTACTCTCTCCAAAATAACTGGTTTGGGTTGGCTCTTGAGTGGCAAAGTTTTATTGCAAAAGCAGCAGAAATTGGCCAAGTTTCTCTAGAAAGGAGTGGTAATGAGGAAAGGTTGAAAGGGCAAGGTTTGTTCTGTGAATTTCTGAAATAGTTTCCTTCCAACTTTGTATCACTGGAGAGATTGAGATAATTGTGTGGTCTGAGGTTTATGTTCTCCTTAGACTCACAAGTCAAAATCCTAACCCCTAAGGTGATGATGTTAGGAGGTGGGGGAAGTGATTAGGTCATGAGAATGTAGTCCTTGTGATTAGGATTAGTGCCCTTATGAAGCGGCTTCATGTCCACCCTTCTATCATGTGAGAACACAGGAGAAGGCTGTCCATGAACGGCAAGTGAGCCATTAGCAGACACCAAGTGTGCTGGGACCTTGATCTTGGATTCCCAGCCTCTAAAACTGTGAGAAATAAATTTCAATTGTGTCTAAGGCACCTCATTACTGGTATTTTGTTATGACAGCCCCAGCAGATGAAGACTCAGTAGTCTATCAGGAAGACGGGAAGAGTCCCTTCCTTTTCCCTAATCACAATGGTCTGTTTATTTCTCATTGTAAAACTGCGTACTGGATGGAATCTAGTTGTGGTTTATGTGACTTAAACTGCCAGAGTTTTCCTAGATAGGCAAGACCTGACTGTTGCACCTGTCCTTTTTACATCCCAGAGCTGGTATGTGTCTGGAGCCTTCCCCAGGTTTTGTAAAAAATCAGTTACTAAATATGGCTTTAAATATTTATTTGATTTGTGTGTGTGTGTGTGTGTGTGTGTGTGTGTGTGTGTGTGTGTGTGTGTGCACATATATCTGGGTGCCCACGGAGGCCAGAAAAGGGCATCATATCTCCTGGAGCTAGAGTTACAGGCAAATGTGAGCCACTTGACATGGGTACTGGGAACCCAACTCTGGTCCTCTAGAAAAGCAGCAAGGGCTCTTAGCCCCCAGCCATCTCTCCAGCCCCCAGGTACTCAATCTTTAAGTTCCAAGCTAAAGAGAAAATACTTGGGTGGGGGGGCACGCTGGAGAGATGGCTCAGTGGTTAAGGGCATTGGCTGTTCTTGCAGAAGACTCAGGTTTGATTCCCAGTACCCACATGGTGGCTAACAACATCTGTAACTCCAGTTCTAGGGGCTCCAAGGCCCTTTTCTGTCCTCTTGGGCACTGCATAACATGGGTACACTTACACGCATGCAGGCCTGACACTTATACATATAAAATAAAAATAAATAAAAAGAAAATACTTGGTTGTCGTTGTTGAATACATACTGTATTTAACATTTTTTTTATTCCCAGAGAAGTGAAATGCAACATCCATTTGAGTTTATGTAACATCCAAAGACTGACAACTCATAATTTCCTAATTAGAGTCATTTTTAAGGCACTCTGCAGAGCCAGCTTTCTTCTCATCCTTCGGTTTTTCTTCAAACTGTGGCAGAATACCTGGCTTCTCTGTCTTCAGTGACACACACATGCTCATGCTTGTAACCTGTACCTCTGTCCTCAACGACACCAAAAAACAGCACAATTCCAAGGGAGGAAAATACACTGGGGGTGGGTGGGTAAGGAGAGAGCAAAGAAGGACACGTGCACATAAATTAACTGATGTGGCAATAGCAGAAGAGCTGGGGAATGGAACGGGGTGGGGTGGACCAGATGGCTGGTGGCCGGTGAAAAAGTAGGCTGCATTTCCCAATGAGGTTTAAATTCACTTAGCTGGTTCCTAAAAAGTTTTCCATTTTTAAAGATAAGGCCAATGTAAGGGGTGGGGGGGTATCTCAAAGTTCTGGACATATATATGTAAGTGTGCTTGCCTGTGCTCATGTTCTTAGGAAGGATTGCTCTTAAAGGTAGGGATGATGAATGGGGGCTCTAAAATGCCCTCCTGAGAAAAAAATAATCTCTCTTACTGGCCCATATCTGTGCCTGAAATTCCCACCATTGGAGCCATTCCTTTGGATTAAGGCATTATCTGTAGCCCCAATGAAAAGATAAATGTCAGATAAATGTGATGCTCAAGTCTTTAGCATCCACCTATCAGAAAACAGGACCCTGAGAGATGAGACTTGGTACAGGGAAAGTCTGACTAATGGGGAAAGAAGATACAGTGCTATGAATGCAGGAAAAATCTGCTTGCCCAGGGAAATTGCTTAGATGGGGGAGATGCAATAGGAAAATGAACTCTTCACATGCCACAGGCCTCCCTTCCCTGCCCACCCCAGCCTCTCTCTCTGTGTGTGTATAAAGTGTCCAACAGTTTTCATACATTACAACATTTTATGTAGATAACTACTATGGTATTCACTTGGGCCCTTAAGGAACAGAGAGTACTCCTCTGAGTGAAACAACAAAGTTCTTGATTCTTTCAGGTAAAATGTTAATACTGTGAAGTTGAAGCCCAGCATCTCCATAGATCCAGGTGGTTTATATGAAGACAGTATAAACACACACACACACACACACACACACACACACACACACACACACACTTCTCTTCTCTTATATCCAGCAGTGGAGACCTTGTCAACATGAGGGGAGTCTCTTAAGTTATCTAGGATCTGGATGCTTAGTGGCTGCTGTCAGGTTGTTGGGCAAGGGACTGGCTTGGGGACAAGGTGACTCCATCCTGTTATCAATGGACCCTCAGGTAATTCAGGTGGCTCTGCAAAGACAGCCAACCTTTGGGTTTTAAACACTGGAATGGGCTTTGCCTTAAGACTGGGATGTGGAGACAGGGATGTCAATATGACTTTTAAACACTTGGAGGGAGGTGTGAGTATGGTAGGAGAAGTTCAGAGAGCGGGTGAATCTGGGCAGGGGGAAGCTTCTGTTTTTCCAAAGGCATGTGCAGGCACCAGTCTCAGGTATGACTCCCAGGTCCTGTCATCTCTTTGGAATCCGTTCAGGTTGGCAGATGGGGAAGTTCAGTGGGGAAGAAGGGCTGGAAGAATGGGAAGGGACTCCAGAGGAAACTTGGGGACTAAAGGAGAATGGGATCTTGGAGATGAATGGGGGCGAAGAAGACAGCAGACATTTCCATCAACTGCATTTGCACATCAGAATCATCTGGGTAACTAAAAAGACTTTTGCTGCTCAGCCCCTTAGAGGCAGATGTGTTTGAGAGGAAACCAGGTATAGGATTTTAGGCTCCCCACATGATTCTGATGTGCATCTGGTATCAAGTATCCTGCACGGGAGCAGAATGAGAAGCCCAGTTCTAAGAGTCAGGCTGGAGTCAGCTGGTCAGTCTTGCATGAGTTGGTGAAGGAGCGGAAGGGTAAGACAATGCAAGGGCAGTGGGCCGGAAGATTTTAAGAGCTTCTTCCTGGACAGTTGAGCCTGTGCTGATTTGTGTGGCATGTAGCTTACTAGCTGATAGTTTCTTATTCCATTTCTGGTTAAAAATCTGGCAGGGGTGGGGGTATTTGGGTACAGGGAGAAAAATTTCCCTCTTTTTTTGTGACTTCTAAGGGGGATCATTTACTGTGCTCTGTGGGAGCCAACAAGACAAATTTGGGGCTGATGTTTCAAAGATGGAAGTGGATTTTCTGCTGCATAATGCAGATTCCATAAATAAATAAATAAATAAATAAATAAATAAATAATCAATGAATATGCCAATAATAAACCAATCAATAAATAACATGCACCATTTTTGCCCTGTTGGGGCACTTCTGCCCTCACGCCATTGATTCTGGTGACATAAACTCTGCCTTTGGTCACCTGAAGGTACCAAGCCTGTCCAAGGTAGGGAAATAATTGCCCTCCGAAGAACTTAGAGAAACCTCAGGAGATGATTGATACTGGCCAGCCATGTGGAGCGGGGAGGAGGGGAGATACAGAGTCTGTTTCCTACCCAAGAGTGCAGGGTAGGAAGGCAGACTTGGGAACCAGGGCTGGGCCATATGAGGTGTCTGCAGTCCTGGCTGACCAGCTTTGTCCTTGGGAGGCTTATGTGGAGGGCTGGGATGAGCTAGAGGTCTGGGTGAACCCATTCTTTCCATACATAATAGCAGGCACAACTCCCACTTCAACATAGCTCCCCATGAGCCAACCAGCCAGCCTGGTTGGACACATGTGGGTGAGGGTAGGAAGTGCTGGTCACAGGATGAGAGGGTGGCGAGGAGACAGGCAGGATGGCACTCTTTTTAATAGGAAATCAGCTGTCCAGGTGTCAGCTTCTGGAGCCACCAGCCATTGCTCATTTCCTCCTCCTTAGTCTCTTGCCATGTGGTTCTGCTCGCTGGGCTTGTCTCATCTTATCAGGAGACCTGCATGTAGACATGAAAACATGTAAATGGAGTGTGCATTAAGACAATGACCAAAGAAGTGCTATTTCTTAAAAGCAGGTGTTCATAATTAGAGCTTTGTTAAGTAGGTTTTCAAGGGGATGATAATGGAAATTTTATGCGAAGTTTTGATACCTTCATGTACATTTCTCCACAAAGGAGACCTGTAACTTCCATCTGTTCTTTTAAAAAATATTTTATTTATAATTACGATTTTAAATATTTTATTTATTATTTTTATTTTATGTGTATGAGTGTATTGCCTGCATGAATGTAAGTGCACCCATGTTGTGCAATGCCTGTGGAGGACAGAAGAGGGAGTCAGATCCCCTGGAACTGGAGTTATAGAAGGTGGTTAGTCGCCATGTGGGTGCTGGGAATCAAGCCCAGGTCCTCTGCAAGAGAAGCCAGTGCTCTTAACTGCGGAGTCACCTCTCTAGCCCCTTAATCTGTTCTTAAAAAGGATTAAAAACTAAAATAACATTAAGGGATTTCAGATCACTTATACATTTAGCCCATTATGAAGCATAAAAAGATCTGCGGAAAGGGGTGGAAATTCAGCCACTGTTCCTTATCATCCCTAGGCACGAGGATTTTCAGGAACTGGACTGACTGGAGTCCTCTGGTGTAACCAGGATTCCTGTCATTGGCTAATTACAACACTCCCAAAGCCCCCTTCTTGACTATGTGCCTATATTGTTCAACTTGAAGTCATCAATCAAATTTTCTTTAGAAAAAAATGTAGAAAATATTCTTTGTGTGGCTCTACTTCTTTATGTAACAGTTGAGGGCCTAAAGAAGTGGCTGTTGAACGTGTGAAGGGAGTTGTGCTGAAGTCAAACATTGGGAATCCTCTTTCTTTCCTGAATATTTTTGTTTGTTGTATTGTGTGGGTGTTGTATACATATGTGGGTGTGTGCACATGTATATGCACATATATGTGGAGGCCAGAGGTCAACATCAGGCATCTTTCTCTGTAGTTATCACCTTATTTTTTGAGTCAGGATCAATGAACCTGGAGCTCACCAACCTGGGTATCTTCCTGTCTGTCATCTCCCACCAGTACTGGGGTTACTGTCATACCTGGATTTTAGGTGGGTGCTGGGGATCTGATTGGAAGCCCTCATGCTTTTGCAGCAATAACTTTATCCACTGAACCATCATCTCTCTAGCCCTTTGCTGTCTAGATTTTTGTGTACTGGACTTGTTTGCAATATTGCTATAATGTCACAAATGTTTTTTATGATTCAACATTAAGTAACATTGTTGCCTTTTCTAGTTATACACATAGCTTCAGTTTTAGGAAGAAAACCCCCAAGCACTTATATAGATGGTCAAATAAGCTTGTTTCAATGATCTGAAAGTAGTACTCAAACCCGTTATATATACAAGTAGCCTAAAATATATTCTAGAAAGTGTTCCTCTCTGCACACTGTCTACCAGAACAGCAGCTGTGCTCTTTGGCATCAACAAATGCCAATTCTTTTTCCTGAAGGAATGTGATTAGCAGAACTGGTCAGAGGTACTGATTGTACTACAGTCCGCCAGCCCTTGATACCTGGCATGTCACAGAATGACAAACATGGTAAGGTAGGGGAGGATGTGGGGTACAATGTAGGAACATGTGAACAGAGGCCTTGAGGCAAACTCAGAGTCAGCCTGCTGTTCACAGACCATACTGCACAGATGTTTGAGTGCAAAGGTCACATCACCAGGATGACTGCCTTATACAGTCACTGCTTTCTTCATTATTTGTCATTTATATTATTCATTATTATATTATTATATTCCTTATATCATTAGTATACTAATTTCAGTTTATATTTTATAATAGTGATGCCTTAGGTAGCATACTTTTTGTATAGAAACTATTTTAATGGAATGATTGAATATTGTCCATCAGTTTTCCCAAGGCAAGGAATAAGAAACTTGGAGCTCTCTGTTAAGTGTGTTCTCACAAGGCTAAACACTTTGTGCGGTGCATATGGCACTGAGAAGATAACTTCTTATTGTTTCACAGATGGAAAAATGAAGGTCAGCATGAAGTCAATTAAAAAATCAGGCCTCAGGGGTTTCAGGTTCTCTGGTCCCCAGGCAAGCCTGTGCCAATGAACATTTTGTTTGGTATATGGAGCACTGGATGGAAACATCTGCTTTACTGGAAACAAAAAGACATGATCATTTTTGGTTGCAGGTTTGCAATTCAACTGAATTTAAAGCTGTTTTGTTTTCTATAGCAAATGTCTTATTTGCCTTCTAATGAATGTGTCCAAAGAAGGCGTCTTTCTTTGATTTTGTTAGTGGTTCTTGCTATTTAAGGCATTTTCTTGCTGTTTAAGGATTCATAAAAATCTTCAGGTGAGAGAAATTGTTTCATTCTCTGATTTCTCTCTCTCTCTCTCTCTCTCTCTCTCTCTCTGCATGCACGTATATATGAGCAAACATAAATAGCAGATAGTGTCTCAGTCTCTGTTCATCTGATATGTATGTGCAGAGTTTTTTCTCTCCTAATTAATTAGAAGTAATAGCTTTCCATAGTTTCTGGTACGTGAGGGAGTGAAGTGGGAAATAATTTAATTGGCTGTCTTGCTTTCAAAGCCCAGTTTAATGAAATAGTTCTCAGACTAAAGTGCATGTATTATCTTTCCTGTTATTTTTCCAATTAACATTTCATTGGATCACGTCTGTGTGGGATATTCTAATTGGCTTCAAGGGTGGGGGTGAAGGGGATGTGGCAGATGGAGAGATAACCAGCTGTCTATTTCACCCAGTGCTGGTGTATGCACTGATGGGGCTGTAGGATTTCTCTTCTCTTTGAAAGAGCAAAAAGTGTTTGAGAGATGTCCTGCCCTGTCACCTTACCCATCTAGGGGCTAGAGAGGGGTTGGGCCAGTCCCCTTAAAGGTCGACTGGATGATGCATTGGATAGAGAGATGACAAAAGGGGCACTTTATAAGGTCCTGGGCTTCCTTGTGATGTATGACCCAATGGTAGAATGAATGACTCCTACTCCTTCAATGGGCACTGTCTCCTTGAGGGCAGGGACTCTGTAGAGGGGCCCACTCTATGAAGGAGAAACCCCACTGAAAGACTTGTTGAGAGAAGGAGCATTTGGAGACATTCCATGTTATCTTCCCTGCTTTGCGCTTCTTGTGAAGGAAGCAGTGAGGTGGAGGAAGATGTGAAGCAGGACAGGAATGGAGAGCAATCCAGACACCAAGGCAAACACAGAGAAAGCTTGATTTTATGGGGACATGCAGGTACACAGACCTGAGAGTGGATGCCTTCTTAGATTCTGAATGTTCTAGGTGCCTTGCTTGGCTCACTGTAATCCTAGGCCTGGCAAAAAGCAAAGTATCTTGTCCTTTCTATTTCCTTGCTCCAGCAATGCTAGCCCTCAGCCAGCCCCCCATCAGCCCCTGACCTAATGACACTAGCATTTAAATACAGCACTGTCTGTGCCCACGTAATTCCATGTGGCTTTGGGTTCTGTTCTGTATCTTAGTTTTTTTTCCCTCACTGCTGCAGTTCTGATGTCTAGTTTCCCTTTTCCTGGCATTTCTGACCCAACACTCAGCTGTTTTAAGGATCAACCCACATTTTTCTGGGTAAGCCAAGGACAAATTTGAGCCTAGAGGCAGAAAAGAGGCTCTATGCTTGGCTACATGGCCTGCTGCCCAGAGTCCTGGCTTCATTTTGTCCTGGTGCCAAGAGGTGGTTAGATCCTCTTAGGGAGCACACCCAGGCCCAGTTGAGAGAGCTAAACAATTTGGGGCTTGGGGTTGGGACTAGGAGGTGAGGTAGCCCCAAGAAAAGGTATGGAATTGGTCCAAAGGAGGCAAAGAAAGTGGGGCCACTACAGGCAGGTGTAGAGAGAGGGTGTAACCAAACATATCTCTCACATGGTAGGACAACCTGGGGGTGGGGTGCAGGGTGGAAAGTACTTTCTCATTTTATTTGCACTAAGATGACAAATCTGGAAAGCTGCTTCCAAATTGTGAGGTTCTAGCCAAAGCTGTAGGGACAGAAAGGCCAGTAGAGACCCACATAAAGATATGAATTTTCCCCTGTATGTCTGCTACCTGAGCCCATAGTGAGGAAAATTCAGCTGTTCTTGGCTGGCTCAGATTGTGTTGGGATTTTCCATCTGGCCCAGTCTTGAGTGGCAACCTGTTGTCTCCAAAAGGCCTCTTGGAGTTCCAGCTACCTACAAGACTATGTGCATTCTCCCTTTTTTTGTGTTCTCTTCCTACCAGGGTGTAGACCTCTCTCACCAGGTGGCCAGGGCTGGGAGAGCTCATAGCTCTCCATTCTCCCGAAAGACCAAGCATTATTTGACAGGAGGGACTTCCTGAAGACGGTTTTGGGTTTCTAAGTGGAAGGGCCTGAGGGTCTGCTAACCAGCTCCAGCCCAGTGTGTCTACTGATCTGACAATATCTTACAGCAAGCAATGTTTAGTTTAGACATCCTGGAGTGTTTTCAGACATCATTCAAATGTATATTGAGGCTGGTAATGGGATCTGTTATAGGAATATACAGCTGACCTGGAAGTGGGGCAATAACACTACATCTCCCCACAGGAATTCTTTTACAAGTGCTTGGGAATGGTCAAATAACCTTGGCTGTCCTTTGGTCACTGAACTGGCAACTCTCTGGAAAACCTCCCATAGGCAGATGTCCTACCCGGGAAATGAGAACCAGATGTACTCAAGATCTCAAAAGAAATTAATGGCAGTAAGACTCTGGGGTAAAAATATCTGTGTGCTTGCTCACTGAGCTTGCTCACTCAGCTCCTGTTCTATCTAAGGATCATTTAGGCTTAATTATAGAGTTCAGGCGTTCATTGGGTTTTTGATTAATTTTCTTTTCAGCCTGGAAAGTGTGTGAGTGTGGTGGGTCTTTGTGCGTGTGTGTTTACATCTTTCTTTGCAACTCAGTTGGGAGCTGGCTCTAGCGATGTTTAATTGTGCCCTCAGCGCTAACAAGAATGTTCAATGTGCCAAGCAGGCCTTGGAAAGCTATTGTTTCCACTGCCTCTGCCCCACGGGCTGCTGGGCTAAGCGCATTGAGGGACTACGGGTGGCAGGGCAGTGCTCAGCTGGGACCTCAGCTGTAGGATGCATGCTTCCTGCCTGTCTTTGTACTTGTGGTGTTTAAGGGATTCAGAGATCAGGAGAGCAGGTTTCTTACTCCATTAATTACAAGGGACAGATAGCTCCCCCACACTAAAGTCCCTGACAGGAATTTTTCTGGGCCAACCTCCCTGGGGATTACAAGGTTCTTTGCAGAAGAAAACAGTGTTCATGGTCTCATTTTTTAATGACTCCACTTGGTAGGCAGGTAAGGACTACATGACTGCGTAGGTGACAGTCACTTGCTTTCCTCTTCCTTTCTTTCCTTTTGTCCTAAGGAGTAAACTAAGAGGCAGCACCATACAGAAAAACAACATGGACTTTTGAGCCAAAAAGGCCCAGTTTGAATCCTGGCTCCTGACATTTTTCTGTTTGTGTGCTTGTGGATATGGCATTTAATGTCTTTCCTCTCAATTTGTTATCTGTAAAATGGGGACACCACCCCATACTCACCAGCATATGACACTTCTTATAAGATTACCTGGGGATGAGGAAAACGCATGTGGAAGCCTTTTGTAAAATATTTTGTAAGTCACTGTTGTTTTATTTTACTTCTCAGAATTGCTTGTTAGAACATGATTTTAAACTTTGAGGTATCAGCTGCTCCAGGAAAGAGGGAATTCCACAAGGATTTATCGAATGGGAGGCAGAAAGGAGACTAGAACTAGCCTCCAAACTTCCCATGTGCTATGAGTCACAGCAATGACCTAAGGATATGACTTGCATGCAGCAGAGAACCTAAGTGAAGGGCTCAGCATCATAACAACTGTCATAGATAAAAAGCAATCTGCAATATTCATTTTTAAACATAATAGTAAAAAGGGTTCTAGGTTCAAATATCTTTCATTTTTAAGCTGATTTGTGGGTGAATGATTCAGAGATAATGAGAAGGTTTCTGGCTGGAGACAAGGGAAACCTGTGGGTCCCAGGTAATATTGCTGTACTGAAAGATGAGATCTGGGAGATCCAAATCTTTTTTTTTTTTTTTTTTTTTCTTATTCTTATTAGGTACATGACCCTGAATTGACAACCTAATTTAACTGGGCCTTAATTTCCTTTGAGATCATAGACTAGAAGATCTCAAAGATGACCTCATTTAAGAATTTAAGATCTGATAAAATGCTCTTTCAAATACAGGAATTCAAAACCTTATGACACTAAGAAACAGTGTATGTGTATAGAAACCAAATACAGTCTGGAGACCACCCACGTAATACTGAAGGCTCAGAATGATCCCCTTTAAACTGATGTCACCTAGCATGAGACCAGACATTCTCAGGGGGAAGGCAGACTGATGGTGACCCTAGTGGAGAACTAAAGGTTAATTATCTCCTGTAGGAGAGCTTTCACTTGGCAATATCCTAACTAAGCTAAAAGGCAATGATGCACAGATCATAGGGATGAAATGGGTCATTTCCCTGTAAAACAATAACTTGAAAATAATTGGCTACAGGGCAATTGAGTGTTCTGCCAGGTTGATTTCCGAACTCAGAGACCCAACTGTACAATTCACAGAAGTAGCAAATGACAATGGTAATATATATTTGCGTAGTGCTTTTAACTTCTATAAGCCCTTGGCTATATATTTTTTCTTCAATTTTTATTACATCATTCTCTAGGAAGCTGCCTTGGGCAATTTATTTTGAAAATCTGAAGTGTGATTCTTTTGAGGAATAAGTCTAGGTAAGTATGCTGAATCTTGCATTATAAGTATAGATATGCCTTTGAAAAGTTATATTATACATAAATATAATTGTGTAAGTCATATCTCATGTGCTGGGGAAATTTAAAGGCTGAAGCTTTGTGTAGGATTTTGTAATGTAAACGTTCCCAATTCTCCATTGTTACAATTTTAGATTTAAAAAAATATCAGGTTTTCTTAAAGCGGGGCTATGTGAATTAGATTCCAAGATCAGTTTTCATTGCCCCAAATCTTATAAAATTGGCACCTCATTCAATATGAGGGAGATATGTCTGCCTATGATGTCAGCATATAAAATAAGTAGCTTTATTCTTCAGTCATACAACTCTCTGAGACCAGCTTTGCCATAAAATGTAACGAGGTGTGGGAAAATGTCAGAGAAACTCAAACGTAACAACGGAATTATTTCTAAATAGAACGTTTCTGGGTCTTCTGTGAGTCACTGATGTGTCCTTAATGTATTACTATAAATAACCTGTCATCAATAACTAACAGTTAAGAGAGGAGATGATGGGTGGGGTGTGAAGTTAACAGTACATAATTTGGAGAGGGCTTGTTGGCACTCTTATGTAAACAAGTAGTGTTCTCTGGGGCTAGAATGTGAAATAAATTAGAGTACACTGCATTTTAAACAAAAGTACCTCTTTGTTTTCATTCTCCATTCCCAAACTCTGGTAGAAAATGGATCTTTGGAGCCAACCACAGGATTTGGAATAATGGCTCTGGACTTGGACTATTCCACCTCTGAAAGTAGGGTTGCAGAATGTACTTTTTCAACATATGGCATTGTGAGAATTGCATAGTTAGTTTACATGGGGGATTTTTGAACAAGGAAGGCTATATCTCACAATCTGCACTCAGGGAAAGCCTTTTGAGTGGGAGCAGGTGATTTAGGCTGAAAGGCCTGAAAACCTTATCAATGTAAAGAGTTGAAACTCATTAAAAGCATTATATTGGCCAAACTCAAAAAACATGGCCACTCATCTTTATTGACTGAATCTGAGCAACACACATTTGCTTAAGATTTTCACTAAAGAGCTATGAAGTCAAGTCTTAGGAAGCATTTGTTTTCTCCCCACAAATGCTAAAGCAGTTAAAGTTGAACTTTGGTGAAACAGAGCTAAAGTTAAGCTATGTGGACATACAGTGCATGTACTATGTGTATAAAGGCCACAAATTACTATGCAGGCACTGCTGGTGAGTCTAGTCATTATGCTGTCTGCGTCCTGGTGTGTGTGTGTGCACATGTGCATGCATAGAAGTGTGCCTTTTCTGTTTCTAAACCATTCAGAAACTAAAAAGAGTGAAAATACTATTCTCATTTGTTGAAATGTTCTGAAACCCTACATGAATTCTAGGCTTATACATCTTTGTAAAGATAAGGCTGGTGATGGGAATAACCAGCTTCAAACAAACTCACAAACTGAGTCACCAAAAACGTAAGGATGGACCTAAATGTCATTGCTACTACAGAATACAGGAAACCACATAACCAATACTGCGACTAACAATACTTTCTTTGGAAAGATGTGGGTCGATGGAAGCAGTCTCCATTGGGTTGCTGATATCAGCACCTTGGACAGTTCCCAGGATGCGTCTCACTCAGCAAGGCACAAAGGGCACCATCGCCCTAGTTTTCTAAGTGTTCCTTTCATTTCAGTGAATGTGTTGACAATCTGATGATCAACTAATATTTGGTATTAATCTGTAATAACAACTTATCCTTTTCCCATCATCCATTCTTTTTTACCACCAGACTTCCATTCTACACGTTTTCCCATCACCCTCCAGTCAGACAAGGGGACAGTCTTACAAACACCTGGTGTGGATGTTTCCACTTGCACTTCTAGTTGGTTGGGAAGCAGCATCTGCCACAGGCACTGTTTAGTTTCATTTCCATCCCCTGCATCTCACAGGAAAGAAATGGTCAAGAGTTCAAATAAAAGAATCATCCTGGTCAGCTCCAAAATATGGCTACTTGCATGGTAATCACAGCAAGTCTGTCAAATCAGTGATTTTTTTTTATTCCTAAAAGAAAGGGGCTTTTCCTAAGAATTATGGTTCTGCCACCCAAGGAGCAGCTTCACTCTTCACAAGCAGCTGCAAAGGCTGGCAAACCGAGAGGTCTGCTTTGGCTCAGAAACTCAGTTTGGCTCCTGCCATCCCTGGCAACCCCACTGCATGTCTCAGTGGCATGTGTTCCACACACAGTTGGCCAGTCTGCTTCTACTTTGGAGGTATCACAACCAGAGGTGGCCCCCGCTTGGGCCTCCACATGAGAACCTGGGCATCGTTGGCATTGGGTTTCACTAGTGCGTTAGGGGGGATGGGTTCCATTCGGCTCAGAATCCGGGGCTGCTCCTGCTGAGTCCTGCCCACCAGCCGGGCCCTCTGCCCCAACAGTTGAAGAGGGTCCACCTCAATGTCCACCCTCATCCTCCACTTGATGGTCTGCAGAATGATCTTCTCCTTTGTGGTGGTATTCATCGCTACCAGCCAGGTAGTGAAACTTTGGTCCCTCTTGATTCTTGTGAGCAGTGGCACATTGCTGTCACTCACGGGCACTGCCCATGTCACACTGGGGTAGAAGTTGTCATTCATGCTGACGGAGAACCTGGAGATCTTGTTGGTGGGGCCAACCAGGGTCACAGTTTCTGTAGTGTTCCCGTACCAAGGGTAGCTCACCCCATCTGAGTCACTGATGGCTTTTACTCTCCCTTCCCTCAAGTCAGGCAGCTCCCAGCTTGACCTGGCAAAGCAGAAGAGATGTACAAGAAAAGAAGAGGCTGAATGAATTTTTTAAAAGTTGGAGAGGTGCCCACCACTTATTAATACAGACAAATTGGGCAAAATGGGAAGTTTGGAGTGGGAATTTAGGTCAAAAAGTTCTATGCTGTGCTGTTTAAGGATTAAATGAGGAAAAAAAAATCAAACCAGAAAAAATAATAAAAAAATACAATGCCAAAGCAAGTTAAATAAAACTCTAGCTGACCCAGTTGAAAATATAGAGCTCAAAGAAGCATTTTAAGACCACAAACAGCTTTAACTCATTGGGATGGTGGTGATCAGCAGTTTAGAGGTAACCCCTGGTAGGATACGCTTACTTAGGGGAGGGAGTGTGTGAGCAAGCGACCGAGTGAGCAAGCAAGTGACCAAGTGAGCATGCGTGTGTGTGTGTGTGTGTGTGTGTGTGTGTGTGTGTGTGTGTAATCTGGGGAAGAGGTGACCTGAAATTTCATGTACTTGGAAGGGGGAATCAGGTGGAAAGGAGGAATAAAGGAGGCAGAGTTCAATGTTGTACTTGTTCTTAGAAAAGCCACAGTAGCAGAATTTCTACTCAAGGAAAAAGCTGGTTTAAATACTACTGTAAGCCAATCCAGCATGTAGAAAACACAGAAAAGGAAAAGCTGATACAAAAAGAGGTGACCTGAAATTTCATGTACTTGGAAGGGGGAATCAGGTGGAAAGGAGGAATAAAGGAGGCAGAGTTCAATGTTGTACTTGTTCTTAGAAAAGCCACAGTAGCAGAATTTCTACTCAAGGAAAAAGCTGGTTTAAATACTACTGTAAGCCAATCCAGCATGTAGAAAACACAGAAAAGGAAAAGCTGATACAAAGAGTATTGGTCACTTCTGGAAGCTAACTGCTTTGCGGAGTTTAGCTGCAGGCTGGCACACATGGGCCCTCATATGCTGCTCTCTCCTTGGCTTCAAGTCCAGGATGGAGGCTTCATTGCCTAGTTTGGTGACCTTGCCATTCTGGTTATCCATCTACTCCTCCTGTCCATCTTTCATTCTTGCCCAGAAAGATAGAGAACATGTGCCCACTCTTAGTCCTCATATCCTCCACCCAGGGACTGTTGTATATACTAATAATGGTAACCACAATAGCAAGGGCTGTTACTTATGAAGCCACTTACCCTGTCCGTTCCAACCACTGTGTTAAGTCCTTTATGTTATCTCAGGTCATGTTCAAAATATTCCACAATATAACTGAATTTTATTTCTGTTTTTTCACATGAGAGGACAGAGGCTTAAAAATGTTAAGATAGGTTATCAAGTGTTTTGCAGACACTAAAATGTTAGACTTTTTTTTTATTCTAAAGGCTATGATTTTTACCACTACCACACTGCTTCCAAGTGCCCTTGCATGGTTAATGGAGAAAGCCACAGTGGAGGGTACTTAGGCTGTCCTATGAGCTAGCAGCTCCCAGGGAAGCCCTGGGGAGTCAGATTGGACGCTAATAGGAACATTCTCCATATGTCTACACTTGCAACCATGAATGATAATAATGCTTGGCCAATAATACCTAAGAATTCAATAATTAAAGAAATGTGACATGGGGCTGAAGAGATGGCTCAGCGGTTAAGAGCACTGACTGCTCTTGCAGAGGACCCGGGTTCGATTCCCAGCACCCACATGGAGGCTGCAAACTGTCTTTAACTCCAGTTCCAGGGGAATCCGATACCTTCTTCTGACCTCCGCAGCACTGCATGACACCAGTGCACTTACATACATGCCGGCAATACAATCATACACATAAAATAAAAATAATAAATTAAAAATATTTTAAAAAAGAAACATGACTGTTTCATTCATCAGTTAAGAGTTGGTGGCCTTGTTTGATATAAAGTTCTTCCTTAGAAGTGATGGAAGATCCCACAGGGCTCGTCCAAATCATCTAAAAGGGAGTTGCGTGCTCAAGTTGATGCTGATAACGTCTCAGCATCCCATACCATCACTTGGGGGAAACACTAACTGCTGCCTCTGGCTAATCCCCCATGGTACTTTCTATGCTAGTCCATCATAAGTGAAAACTGGACTGCCTGGGGAGGAGGTAAGCCCACAGCTGTGAGAGCCTTTTCTCTTTTCTTTATGCCCTTGATAACTGTTGGGAATAATTGTAGTGTATTATGGGTGGCAGAAGCTAAGTAACAGGAACTGACCTGAATGCAGTCAGAGAGTGTTCATCTTACTACACGAGCTAGTGAAGCTATGCCAGGGGAGCTCCCAGATCATCCACAGTCAATTCTTACTGTACAAAAGGGAATGTACATTGTTTGAGTGTAATATAATTACGTAAAGAAAGGGTCATAGTGATGGAGACCCAATCTGCTAATCTGCTTGCTGGGTTGATGAAATGGCCACACTGGAGACAATGTGTCCCAGCTAAGAGACCAAGACAATTTATCAGTCATCAGACAATATTTCTGTGTTGCCTGGTTAGTGATCAGAAACTACTGGCATTTCCTGAGTGACTTGAGGGCAGATGTTCCCAGCACTGCTGGATCATGCTTATTCCCCAGCCTTTCTGGGCCAACTGCGGCATATCTAATCTAGTGAATTTTGTTTTAAGTGGGTGTATTTCTTTTTCTACATTTTAATTTCATTTTTTTTTGGTCTTTTTTAGGCAGGGTCTTCCTGTAGCCCTTGCTGGCCTGGAACTCATTATGTAGACCAGGCTGACCTTGAACTCACAGAGTCTGTCTTCCTTTGCCTCCCAAGTGCTGGGATTAAAGGCATGCTCCAGTGCACTTATTTTTTTATAAAAAATATTTTATTTATTATTTTTATGTATATGAGTGTATTGCTTGCAAGTATGTAAGTGCACCTGTGTCATGCAATACCTGTGAGGGTCAGAAGAGGGAGTTAGATTCCCCTGGAATTGGAGTTGCAGTTGGTTATTAGGCACCATGTGGGTGCTGGGAATCAAACCTAGGTCCTAGGCAAGAAGAGCCAGTGGTATTTAACCTCCGAACCATTTCTTCAGCCCTCTGGACGCACTATTTATTCTGCTATAAACACTGAGCTTTTTAGGATAGGCTATCTCACTAGTCAATTCAATTACTTTGTCTACAGAGACTTAACTCTTTACATTTTGCCTCTGTCTTCCTGCCCAGAGCCAAGAGCAGAGACCTGGGCCCACGATCTAGAGGTCAGTCTGGTAGGAATATAATGAAACTTAGTTTGGTTCTGGGTTTCCTGAAAAACAGAGATGAAACAATGAGGGGCAACTTGTGCTGGTCTCAGGAGAGAAGGAGGAGCCCTCTGGCTCATAGGATTCTCTGGAATAAGAAATATAGCAAGGTTCTTAGTCATCATAACACAGCAAAGACATCTGGCCGAGCATAGTTCCGGGTGTAGTGACCTTGGTAGGCTCCACCTTAGTTCTACTCACACTTTTGTCTCTTCTGTGGCTTCTTTTTTTTGGAATTACCTGAGTCTGATACAGCATCTCTTCCACAGTCCCATGAAACCAGTATTTACTTCTGCCTTTCCAGAGGAATGGCTTAATTTTGGAAATAATCAAAATTCAACACAACTTAAATCTTGTGAACAGGAAGTGGTTTTCTATTAGAAAATTATCACATTTTTATTTCTTCTATGGAAAATAGATCCCAGGATAGTGGATTTTCTTTTTCTTTTTTTTTCCAAAAAAGAGTTATTCTTATAAAATGCATTATTGGTTTATGTAGATGATAAAATGGCTTTGGTAATGGTTTTCAGAGATGTCCCTGAAAAGTTCCAAGAATGGTAACATCAAAGTAGCATCTCAGGGACCATTAAAAAGCACACTGTGGCCAGGCATGGTGGCACATGACTTTAATCCTAGCACCGGGGAGGCAGAGGCAGGCGGATCTCTGTTAGTTCAAGGCCAGCCTGGTCTACATAGTGAGTTCCAGGACAGCTGGGGCTACAGGGAGACCCTGTTTCAAAAAGACCAAAAAAAAAAAAAAAAAAAAAAAAAAAAAAAAAAGAACACTGTGAGTGGGACCCTGGAGGCACTTCGGGTCCTACGTGGCCCACCCTGACCTTCTCATTCCTACCATAAATTAGGGTCTCCTCCCCTCTCTGCTGATTCCAACTTTCCAGGTCAGAATGAAGGCCATCTTTGGATCCTCCCATCTCTCACCCAGACTGCCATAGCTACTGAAACACTGCATCTTGTGACTTTGGCCCCATTACTCATGCTTGAACTTATCTCCTTTACTCCATACAACTCTCACAGCCTTCACTTAATCCAAGTCTTCATCATCTTTGACCTGGTTTTCTCTAATGATCCATAACTGGTCTCTCTGTAGCCAGTGTTGAGTCTTCTCCAGGTCATCTCATAGGCTGCACAAGTTTCAGAAGCTGCCTTTTCTATACATAAAATCCTTCTAAGATTCCCCATGCAAGGAAATGATTGGCTTGTTCACAGAGTGAAATTCAAGTTTCTTTAACAGTGGAGACCCAGTTCTCTGGTAACTGGTCTCTCTGTCCCCATGTACCATGCTGTTTCTCACCTTTGCCCCTTAGTTCATGCCTTACCCTCGGCCTACACTGATCTTCCTCCTAATATAATTGCAGGGTATTGAACCACTCACTCTTTGTAAATCATCACACGAACGATCACCTGTACCCTCAGGAAGATCTATTTTTCTATTCATCCATGGATATGTCCAGATCTGCAGGTGCCAGATTATATTTTAACTCCTAGTTTATGCCTATTTTCTCCATTAGCTGACAATTTCCTTGAGATTATGACTTATTTGGAACCAATATCTAGCACATAACTGGCATACAATTAAAACATTTTTTCTTGGATAGTCCCACATCTATGAGTATATGAATGTGGGTTATATAAAAAAGGGGATACGCTGGGGCTGGGGAGATGACTCAGCAGATGAAAGCACTGGATGCTCTTGCAGAGGACCTGGGTTTGGTTCTCAGCACCACAGGCAGCTAACAACCATCCAAAACTCCAGT